AGGTGTATGTGGGAAATAAGCTCTTACCATGTTAAGACTCTGAGATTTGGCATCTGCCTGCTTACCATGGCCTCAGATTTTTGCCCTTCGTTTGTGCATCTGACTGGAAATCCACTCCTGGGTACCCCTCCCCCAAATGTTGTACCAGCATCTCAATACAAACAAACTTATCTTCTCCCTGATGACCCCAATCTGTTCTTTGCTCTGTCTTCTCTGCCTGTGGGAGGGGCATTAACTTCACCCACACCTAAGCTAGGGGATGTCATCATCTTTGACCATGCCCTACTCTTTGCCTCTCCTGATGTCATTCCCAAATCCCACTCACCAGACTTTCCAGATGTCTCTGGTGTCTGGATACTAATGTCCTCTCAGATCTGGCCCACAGAACCCTGGCGTGTTCCCCCTCCCCCACCCCCTTCAGGAAATCCTTTCTATCCCCTTAACATAAAAGAATTTGATTGTGATGTTACCCTTCTAAAACCCCCCTCAAAATGGCTTTCCCATGGATGCCAAGACCATTCAGGAGGCAGCTCTGGACATGCCTGCAGCCTCAGCTCCCTCCCCCTGCCCCCAACCCACACCCCCCAGGTGGGATCAGCCATCAGCCCTCAAGCCTGCAACTTTCTATCTGTGCTCCTTCCCTCCCAAGCCTTTTGCCCCCATCATCCCTGGATAGAAACTGACACCCTGCAAGCCTGTCCTTATGTATTTTTCTTCATTAATTTTCTATCTCCTTTGCCAACCATAGGCTGCCCATTTCCTGTGTTCACAAGACAGGGTCAAAAATAGAGAAAGGGCCTGACCAATCAAGTTGATGGAAGGAATGACAGACACTGTATTTCCACTTTTAGCCCTTTGGGACTTGTGCCTCTTTGACCAGCTCCCCAGAAGCATGTGCTCAGCTCACAGGAGGAGGCCAACCTCACTCAGCCTTATCCAGCCAATGTCTGGGAGCAGGCAGGGGAGGAGGGAGGGGGGCAGGTTTGAAGCCTGGGTGAATGTGGTCATCACAGGGCAGCAGGCTGCTTCCAGGTGCTTTGAACCTCACTCCTCATTGACAAAGTGATCCACTCTCCTGCTTTAAGTCTAAGGTGGGGGAATATGTGGAAGCCCCTTCAAAGTTTGATACAAGGGTTCCCAGGTTTCACCCTTATCATCACTATTAGAGACATCACGTGAGGTGAACTGTGAACTATTCTACAGTGTGAAATGTATTTGTAAGGGCTTTAAAGCTTCTCTGACCTCAGACATGGCCCTTTCTGATTACCTGAGTGGTAGATAATACCATCTTATGGAGAGAAGAGGAGGAGGAGGGAAAATGCCCAGATGTGTCCAAACAGCTAAAAACATGCTTGACTTCCTTAAACATCCTTTTATTTAACATCATGCCTTAATTTGTTCCCACCGCATTCTGTAGGGTTGGAACAGGTAGAAATGCAAGTTTAATGTGAAAGGCTATGAGCTGTACATCAAGCAGAAGGACGTTAGGTTGGTCCCTAAGCAGGTTTTCCAGTTTTTTTATTCCTTAGAGTTAAAAGACAGATTTCTAAATTAGATGAGCAAGACACTGATCTGACCTCTCACCAGATAACAAGATTTGATGTTGACAACTTCTCATCTGGGACTCCAATCACTATCTGACTTCAGAGCTGCCAGCCGTCCCCTTGGGATGTCCCTCCCCCCATGCCCTATGTCAGTGTCCCTGCCAGGGACATTGCTGGTGGCACAGGCCTGAGCCTTCACACAGAAGCCTGTGTGTCCTGGGAAAGGCCGGTCCTTCAAACATACCACCGACACCTTACCCTTCAATGTGCTCCCTCAGGCCACTGCAGGGCTCTGCCTCACCGTTCTGTCACACAGTGGTCATATCCACCCGGAGATTTTGTATACTTGACCCCCAATGTCCAGCCATCACCGAAAATATTTTTCAAGGCTGAAACTGGCATATCTTCTTCGTAGAATTTCTAAATGTAAGAAACAAATTATAAAGCATCTACTTTCTCCTTAAGAAGGATTTTCAGATTTTCTTAAACTCCTAGGAAGCAGCCTACAGCTTGCACCAGCACTCTTCCTCATACGGGTCCTACAAAGAAGGCGGTGGACTGAGGACAGGAGAGGAGGAGAGCAGGGACAGCGCAAGCTGTGAAGCCTGGGCCCTGCGGCCAACATCTCGTCTCAGACCCCTGTGTACGGGTCCCAGAGGCTGTGGATGTCTCATAGCTGTGCTCACGTTCTCGTGAAGAATTCGGAAACCGTGTTCCTCTGGAGACCCCTCCTACACTTCTGTGGTTTTATTGATCATCAGCTCTACCTGTGACCTATGTCTGGAGCTCAGCTCCCCAAGTATTCAGAAGTTTTCTCCTCCCCCTCAATTTCTAGCCTACCTAGGTGTTAAAAAAAAAAAAAAAAAAGCTGGAGGCTGATTGGTCCTATGAAAGGGGAGGTAAGTACCTGTAATTGGTTTTACATAACCCAATGTATGCGCTTCCATATACTCACATCAATACCCATGGGTGGGAATAAACAGAATGGTCTTCTCTACTTACTCACAGGGCCTTAGAAACTTAGCACCAAAGTGGCTATTTGGGACCCTGTGTCCATTCTCAAGGCAGCACCACACACAAACCCCTTCTGCTTCCTAATAGAGAAATCTCACAGTTCTTTTCCAAGAGCTGTCCCCAAAATTCAATTAATGCCTTCACTGTGGGGAAATGAAATTAATGCCTTCACTATGGGGAAATTCTGTTATGTAAAATCTTCTCTATCTATCTATCTATCTATCTATCTATCTATCTATCTATCTCTTCTCTGCAGTTGCAAGCAGGTGGCTCTCTTACAACCCTCACTAACCAGATTGTCCTTTTGGATGAAAGAATTAATCCCCTCAAATTTTCCCAGTAACCACAAGATTTGCAGCATGCAGTTTGGAATACAGCAAACCTGGGTTTGACTCCTGCCAGGTATCAACTGTGATATTGGGAGAGATACTTATCTGTGTCGGTATCTCTGTCTACAAAGTGAGAGCTACACCCACCTTGGACGGTGGTTGTAAGTATTAAATGAATGAACTCATATAGAATTCTAACACAGTCCCTGGCATGCAGCAGGTGCTCAATAAATGTCCTGGGTGACTCTCTTGGGAGAGGATTGACAGCTGACATCCCTGGGCTGTGCTCAGACAATCAGCCTTCTCCATCATATTGCTGTCAGAATACCTGGGATGACTTCCAGGTCCATGTGAATAGCAGGGTTTTTTTGTGTCCCCTGAACTTGGTGTGTTTCATTCCCAAAGCAAACAGGAGGAAGAAATGAAGGCTAGATCATGTTAATGGAGCACTCCAATTCAGAGCTTTAAGACTTGAGGAACTTGAGGAGTGCTTGCTCAACCTGCACTTTGACCTCTAGGACTGAGCATCAGAGTTCCCCTAGAGACAGTGCGGGGTGATGGCAGAAAGGGGGCGCCAAAGTGGGGGATGTCGGCTGATATGAAACCACAGCTGGGATTTCCTTATTTGTGCATAAAACAGTGAACTCTGTCACTATATATATATATATATATATATATATATATATATATATATATGGCTAAGGGACAGTTGCATCTGAAACAAATGAATGGAAAACCAAACAAGCTGCATGGGGCAACCAGGCCAGCAGGGGGGTTAGTGAGAGGCGACCAGGCTGGTGGGGGAGAGGGGGGCGGGCAGTTGGGGGCAACTTCGCTGGCAGAGGAGACCATTAGGGGTGACCAGGGCAGCAGGGTGGGGTAGTTAGGGGCAATCAGGCAGGCAAGCAGGTGAACAGTTAGGAGCCAGTGGTCCCGGATTGTGAGAGGGATGTCTGAATGCCGGTTTAGGCCCAATCCTAGGGTCCCGGATTGGATAGAGTACAGGCTGGGGTGGGAGGACCCCGCCCCCCATCTCAGCCCAGTGGTATTATATTATCTTCATATTTTCATAATGAGAAATGCCCAGCTTGTAATATGGTGGCTGTTTGTCAAATACCAGCAAAGGAAAAGGGATACTAGCAAGATTCTCCAATGTTTGGATTTAGGAAAGTGCGTGGCCTTCACTGTTAATGAGAAAGCTTCCAGTTCCCACCAACAGAACCCAAAGTGTCATTTGAGGGAAAACAACCCTTTCTGCCCATCCCCTCAACAGGCACAGCATCGGACCAGCCCCAAGACTGGCAGTTAACCATTGCTGGGGCCATTTCCATGTCTTTCCTAATGAAAGTTAATCAAACTGCAGAAAGTAAGATCACATGTAAGAAAAAAACAGAAATGCTTCAAGCTCAGGCAAGGCTCAGGGCGCAGCTTGGAGAGGACTCTGCGATCCTTCCCCTTTGCCTCCGAGGGGCATGAATCTTGGCAAAATGCACATTATTGTTATATTTTCTTTGTAAAATAAAGATTTATTTCCAATACATATCTTTTCAAATTTTGCTGGTAAGAGATTTTTACCTGGAGGGAAAATAATAGCTTTTTCAGTCACCTATGTAATAATACCCAGAAATTCGGAGGAAACCCATCCCTGTGGCATAGGAGCATGTATGGTTTTAATATACAGGGTGAGCAAAAGTAAGTTTACAGTTGTTCATATGGGAAATGATACAATGTATAATAAATATTCATACAAAATAAACTCTGTGTTTTGCATACTCACAACTGTAAATTTTTGCACACCCTGTATTGTTATAACATGTTAAGAGAATGCTTTATTGTTTTTTATTGCTTTTTATTGTTTTTATTGTGCTTTATTGTTTTAAAGGTTTTTTATGCTTTTCTTAAAATAAAACAGGCCACATTTTATAAGACAATATATTTTATAAATAGTAAATTTTTTTCTTTTTTTTTATTTTTTATTTTTTTCTTTTATTTTTTTTGAAGATAACAGGGCGTTCATTTACAAGACACAACGCGCCCTCCGGAGCGGCCGTCCGTCCGTTCTATAACGTCAGCCATGGACACGTGGGCACGGGGCGCCGGGGGCTCCTCCTTGCTAGTCGGCCAGGATATGGACGTAGGACACAGGAAAGACCCCTTTCCTTTCAGGCTCTCCCTCGATGTGGCTGATCCACCACTCCTGCTCCTGCTCCCCCGTGAGGACAGTCACCTCGCCCTCGAGGAAGGTCAGCTCGTCGTCCTTGTCTGCCTGGCAGTCGTAGAGGGTCTTCACAGGCCGCACCTTGTTCTTCCCCGTGTGGCTCTTCCTGGGCAGCGGCACGGGCATCTCGGGCCGGTGGGCGTCAGGTCGTGGGCATCCTCGGAGGCCTGCTTCCGGAGGGCGTCCCGGGCTGGCAGGTTCAGGGAGAGATCCAGGGGGTGCGCCTTGGGGGAGCTGTTGGTGGCGGGGCCTTGGGCGGGGCCTTGGCCAGCAGGTCCGCCAGCTGCGGCTTGGGGGGCAGGTCCTTCATGTGTCCTTTGGGGGGCAGGTCGCCCAGCTGAGGCTCGGGCAGCAGTTCTCCCGGCTTCGGTGGCAGATCTCCGATCTGGGGCCTGGGCGCCAGGTCCTTAGGCTTCGGGGGCAGGTCTGCCAGCAGCGATGGTTTCTGGGCGCCTTCGGGCGGGATGTTGGCCTGGTCCAGGGAGAGAGGGTGGCTGGTCTCGGGCTTCCGAGGGCCACTTTCTGAGGTAGTTTAGGCCGAAGTCGCGGGCCAAGGGCAGACGTCGCGGAACCAGCGCTCGCCTGCTGAGACAGCGCCTCGAACTTGTTTGTGGTCTTCCTGGAGGAGGATGGACCCAAGTCATTACCCCAGGTAACCGCGCCTTGGTTGGAGGGCCCGTGAGGTAGTGGGCTGGGAGGGTCCGACAGGGTTCTCTTGTGCCAGGGGGATGGCTGCAGGGGCCGCTTCTCGGACCCGGTGGAGGTGCCGCTGCCGGAGGGCTGCATGCTGAGCGGGAGCCTGGAAGGCAGGCCGGGGGGGGGGGGACCTTTGCCAGCGTTTCCAGGAGGCAGCGAAAGTGCCTCCGAGGTGGGTGACGTGGGCAGGTCCGTGCTCGTGGAGGTGAGGATCTGGTTGGGGGAGGCGCTGTAGGAGAACCATTGCCTGTCCCCCCAGGTGCCGAACCCCAGCTGCCCCAGCTTGTCCTGGGGGGAGGTGCTGGAGGAGTGGCAGAAGCTCTGGGGGCGCAGCGAGCCCTCCTTCTTGATGGGGCTCTACTTGTGGTCCAGGTCCTCGTTGCCCTAGTCCATCTCCTCCTGGCGCAGGTTCCAATAGTACCCCACGTGCAAGCGCCGGTTGAACTTCCCGGACTTGGCCTGGGAAAGCAGGTCTTCACACTGGGTGGCTTTCAGTCTCTTTGCTATGTCGAGGGCAGTGTCTCCAGCCTGGTTCACCACGTCCACGGTGGGCTTCCTCCGCAGCAGCAGCTTCAGGCACTCGGGCTTCTCGAACATGCTGCAGTAGTGCAGGGCTGTGTTCCCCAGGGCCGTCTGCTTGTCCAGGTTCCCACAGTTTTGGACAAGGAAGTCAACCACATGGAGAGATGCCTGGTCTGCAGTTCGGACTGCAAGATGAAGGGCGGTCTCCCCGAGCTGTTGCCCGGGCTCCAGCAGCCGCTCCGTGAGCTCCACGCCTTCCGCGTAGATCTGGACGAGGGCAAGCAGGTCCCGGGACCGCATGGCCTCCATCAGTGCATTCAGCTTAGCCCACGGAGAGGAACAGGTCTTCCTCGAAAACCGATGATCCACGTACTTCGCCGTGATGTACTCCTTCCGCGCAGTCATGTCGCTCATCGGGGTAGGCTTCGGTGAGGGGCTGGGTAAATTGGCTTCCATAATGTCATTGAAACTATTGTTCCCAATGGTCTTGGCCAGCAAGAGTTCAGAAGTTCCCAGCTTGTCTAGTTCCAGAGACTGAATGCGGGAAATATGGACCCCCATTTCCCTGTGGATTCCTGAACAGTCGATTCCGGAATAGTCGATGCATGTCAAAATACCCAAGTTGGTAGAAAGCCAGGTGGGTTTTGAGGAGCCGCAGTCACAGCAGACCTCGTTGCCAGGCAGCCGCTGGACGTCCTCGATGATGGCTTTGGTCAGGTCCTCCAGGCTGTTCTCACCCGTGCTCTGCTGCCCTCGGAAGGCCATGGTCAGGACCTCCTCTTTGCTGTTTGTCAGCACTGATATCCATGCTACGAAGTCCTGCTTATCTTCTGCCCGGAAGTGATAGGTCCTCTTATGTGAGGTAAGGTCAAAAGACTTCTTGTCCTTGGCATTTGGCTTCACCTGGCTGGTGAGGAGGTTCAACTTGGCTGGTTGCCTGTTAGCCCTGGCGTGGGAGATGGTCAGCATCCCGTCCTGGACCGCGCACTTCCTCCTCTGCCACACTTTGCGGATCCCGTCACTTTTCTTCAGCAGGTTCCCCTTCTTCTCGCTGCCATACTCCTTGTTGCCCTGGAGCTGGTGCATGCTGGACCCCCCCTGGCAGCTCTGGGGATCTTCTTTCTGATCCAGCTGGAGAGAGGACTTTATTAAGTCCCGGAGGGCGGTCAGCTCTTTCTTCATCCTGGGTCTGCTTTGTGTTATGTAAGTCAGCAGCCAGTTTTTCAATGTACTGTTTCAACTTGTCAGCTGTTTTCAAGCCACCTTGAAAGAAATTGCACTGGGCGTGGTAGTACTTGATGAGATTCTGCATCAGGTCCACGCCCTTTTTGGTCTTGATCTTGTTGACTCTGAGGAAATACACATCTGCAGCTGGAAGAGGCGCAGCTCCTTCTCCGTAGCCTCTGTGATCTCCGCCCCGTGATCTCCGTGCGGGTCATCCCGTGCTGCTGCACATGCTCTCTCTTCTCCTTCTCAATTTTGGTGAACTTTGTCTCATAATCTTTCCAAGCTTTGTCGAATGGCTTCTTGAGATCTCCTTTGACTCCCTTGAGGTCTCCATTCACCAGGGAGTCCAAGGTGAAGAGCACGTTGTGGCTCAGCTCCTGAAGCAGAGTTTTCCGCAGGGCGGACAGTTCCTTTGTAAGAGTCGAACATTGGACGAAAGCAGTGCCAAGCTCCGGGTTGTCTCCACTTAAAAAATTACTCCCGAACTTGTTCAGAACTTGGGCATAGTTTTCTTCATTTTGTACATGGTCTTGACCAGAGTTGCAGATGGCTGTCACAGACTTCTTCACCTTCTGTAAAGCTGTTCTATCTTGGTCTAGCGCCTCCTCCAGCAGCGTCACGGTGTTCCTGCAGCTGTGCAGCCGCGAGGTGAAGCTGGAGGTAGAGGGCGAGTTATAGTCCTCGGTGGTCTGGGCGATGAACTCAGACACGGAGATCTGGTCCAGCATCTGATTCCATAGTGTGTCTCTCAAAACACTGGAGAGCCAGCTCATGTCTCAGGTGTCACACGCACCAGAAGACGACCTGTGAACTCACAGCAGTCGGCCGACGTCTCCGAGGTTCTTTGGAAAATAAGCTTTTCCTGAAGGGAGGACAGGGCTCCTTCCTTCTGAGGAAAACCACAATCTTTTCTATTCCGAAGTGGCTTGTCTCAAAGATGCGCAGTAATACCTGCTCCGAAGACAAGACTGTCCAACGGAAAGGCCTTTGGCTCCTGAAAGCCTCAGGCTCCAGTGTGCCTGGTTCTGGGGCTGTTGTGTTCCAGGGAGACAGAACCTACAGAGCACCCGCTTCCTGCTGCTCTGTTACATCACGTAACAGAGGGGAAAGGGGGACCCCATGGCAAAACCAAAGGCCACAGCTCACAAAGGAAAGGGAGTTGAGAAGGAGGAGGGGAGGAGGGGAGGAGGGGAGGAGGGGAAAGAAAGGAGGTAGGGAGGGAGGGAAGCAATAGTAAAATTCTTAATATAAATTTTACTACCTATTATAATAATATATTCGCCAAGATTATTTGTTACAAGTTAAAAATGAACAAAAAAAGTATTTTCTTCAATAATACTGATACATGTTCCTTGTTTAATGTTCACCTTTCAAAATAGCAAGCTTTATTTCTCTTAAAGACCAATAAAAATCATGCTAATATGTATATGCTAACTTTCTTTGCTGCCCTTAGAATAAGATTTCTAAGTTGTCAAAGCTATCACTTTAAAAGCACTTCAAGATTCTAAAATTAGGAGACAGTGAAATGTCAGACTGTGAAAATGGAGACCGAGGACCAAGAAATGTACTTATACAATGTAGAAATCATGGAATTAAAAATGCCAGAAAGTTTCATCAAATTTCTAATTGCCAAGGGCATCTTGATTAAAAGTAAGAATATCAGTCATTTGCACAACTTACTGTTCCCCTCCTGGTCAGGTTTACTCCTCAGCTCAATTATTTACAACACACACACAAACACACACACACACACACACTCCTTTCCTGGTTAGCTGAGCATCATACAAACGCACAATCCCATGTGAGAGGAATGAGAGTCCTGTGCAGGCCTGAGGTTCACATCTGCTTTGGAGCCACCACCAGGACACACAGATGGCAGGCACTTTCCTCGGGAGTAACTCTAATGGGCTCCCCCGAATCCACCAACCCTCACTGCCTCGGAACGGTTTTCTTCCATGTACTATAGTAAATTAAATGGATAAATGAGCGTAACTGTATCAATCAAAAGAGAGATAGTCATATTTTTTTCTAAGTATGTTTTTATTGATTTCAGAGAAAGGAAGGGAGAGGGGAGAGTGAAATTTCAAATAATGAGAGAGAATCATGGATCGGTTGCCTCTTACAAGCCATCCATTGTGGATCAAGCCCCCAACCTGGGCATGTGCCCCACCTGGGAATCAAACTGTGATCTCCTTGTTCATGGATCAACGATCAACCACTGAGCCACACAGGCCGGGCAAAATATATATAATACTTTTAAATAATTTTTTAAAATTGGAAACACATGGTCTTGATTGGACCTAGAACACTGTGGGCCAAGTGACAATAGTAGTGTAGGTTTGTTTAATTGCCTTCACCCCAAGTTTAGGCTCGGGACCAGGCTCTGTCTGGGAACGCCCTGCATGAGGATGGTCAAAATGAAACCAGCCACTAGAAGCCCTTTCTACTCCTCCAGCTGTGCCGCCCTCAGGAAAAACACAGCGGCAGGAACTCAGTGGCCACCTTTGCAGATGTGGGATGCAGGGTCCCCGGAAGTTGTCCAAACTGCCAGCATGTGCACATTGTGAGGGCCTCTCCCATGCGCCCTTAGACTGGAGCTTCGGGCACAAAAAAACGTGGATGGCTCTGCAGACATAGGAGGGAAGGAAAAGCCCCATCCCTACTGCAAGTGCCCTCCAAGGTTGCTGCCCTGTGGGGTCCTGTTCGCAACAAACCAAATGACAACAGCACCCCAAAGTAGAGGGATGCCCAAGGCAAAGGGGCCTCATCCCTGCCCACAGCCAGCAGCCTCTGTGCCCTGCAGAGCCATGGCATCCTGGGGAATGGAAACGGGTCCAGGACAGTGGCGCCGAGAGCTCTGTCAGAGGAGAGCTCGGATTAATCAACTTGATATCTCCCGTGCTGATTAAACAATGAGGCGTCCTGGGGTTCTGCTGTCTGTCCCGATGAGCGCTCATCAGCCTAATGTGCCAATCCGCACAGCTCCCTCGGGAGCAAACTACCTTTTAATTTCTCCCTCTAAAGATTAATTCCATTGTTTTGGAACCCGTGCTACAAGCACTGTAAACTAATCATTAGTCATTTTCAAGCAATCTGACCTTCCCTGCCACAAATCGTGGAGTGCTTTCCAAGAGGTCTCTTTTGGGGTTCTGGGGATTTGCATCTTCTCTAGGGGTCGGAGAGAAGAGTGGAAAATAAACAATAACATGTTTGCCTGGTAACTTTGGCAAAGAGGGGCATTCACTGAAAGGGCTTCCTTCTCATGCGAGTGACCATTTGTATTTCTTTTTGGACATTTTGTATTTTAGTAGCTGAGAAGGCAAAACTGAGAGCAACGCTTTTGTCCCAGGCCCACTACACCTGCCGAAGGACAGGAGAGGACAGCCAAGAATGGGCTGCCCGTGGGAGCCAGGACCTCACTCACACATCGCCTACTCTAGTCAGTGTTCCCTAAATCTTCCTAGGTAAGTCTGCTGATTAGTGTCCTAGGGTAAGGTGATCAGACGCCCCGCTTTTGGCGGGACAGTCCCGATTTTGGACAATTTGTCCCGATTTTAAGATGCCTGCAACAACGGATCCCAGAGAGGAACTGATAGGGCTGTTCTAGCCATAGAATAAGTAGGAGCTCACAAAAACAGAGGAGAAATAGTCCAGAAATAGAGTGAAGATGCCTTGCCATGCTAGCATGATTGATGCACCTGTGCATTGCTGCAGGTTGCCCAGGACCAAGGGCAAGGAAGGACTGAGAGTTGCCTGTTGACAGCAAAACAGAAGAAGAAAACTGAAAACTACGCAAAGGACTGTGGTACCAACATAGAATCAACTGAAGAATTTTAAGACTGAAGTGGAAGCTGCTACTTCAACCATGCACCTGCTCATACTAGCATCTGTTAGCTGCCAGTCTTCTACAAAGTCCAAAAACTCTGAGTAAATATACACCAGCAGCAAAAGAGACTTTCTTTCATTTGGTAGCTAAAAATGTTAATATGTCCATAGTTCTGATTTATCATATTGTTGTTTGCATTGCCATTATTTTGTTATTATTTAATAGCCAGAGTTTTTGCTCTTGACATTCAAGTTTTGAAAATTATAATATGTATGTAGTTTAATTTTGCATTGGCATTATTTGCAATTGTTTTAATTTAGAGTTTTATTCTTAATGTTTAAACTAAAAAAAAAGAAAAGAAAGAAAGGGTGAGATGTAGAGGGCCAAATGGGAAGACATCTGGACATTCTATAGATTGTTGCTGACTGGGCCAGGATATTGGCAGAATCATGTCAGGGAGATGTTCTTAGTTCCTGACTAATGTGTTTGTTCGGGAGGAAGGGGTGGGTGGAACCTGGGCTCTCCCAGGCTCCTTGTTTTCCTGTGAAACCCCTTGTTGGATTGGAGGATAATAGATGTGCTGCCTGGCTCAGGAGGTGGTCAGTCTGTCTCTCCAGCAGAAGAGGTCAGCGGCCCTCCCAGCTCCCAGCTTGAAATCTATTTCTATGTCTTCTCTCTTTATTTCTAATATTTCTCAATCCCTGGGCACCTCCACTTAGAACTGGTTCATTCATCTCTCTTTCCATGTGGAACATGGAAAAGGGAGATCCCTGCAGCTTCAGGCCCCCGCAGATATATATGATCATTTTTAGTCTGTTCTTTTCAGACCTGTTTATATTTTCTGTTTTGGGGTTATTAGCTATGCCTAATCTTGTTATCTAATAAAAAAATATATACAAATTGACCATACCTCCGCTACACCCACAAGCCATGACCATCAGTTAATCAGAGTGATTATGCAAATTAACCCCAACCAAGATGCCTGTGGTCAAAGAGAGCAGGAGGGAGGCTTGGGTTTCCCAGGCGATGGAAGAAGCCAAGCTTTCTGCCTGTTCTAGCCGGCCTAGGCCTCCACTCAAGGCTACAAAGTTTCAATTGTAGAAGGTAAATTCCAGATACCAAGGCCTTCGCTTGGGTCACCAGGGGACATGACTGGCCTGCAAACCACCACAGGCCCCTTCACCCAAGCCACCCTACGTCCCAAGGGAACCCCCACCCTGTTCTGGGACACCCTTCAGGGCAAACCAGCCGGCTCCCACTCACGTACCAGGCCTTCATCCTATCTAATAAAAGGGTAACATGCAGATTGACCATATTTCAACACACAAGATGGCTGCCCCCATGTGGACACAAGATTGTCAGCAGGGGAAGGCAGTTGGGAGGGGCCAGGCCTGAAAGGGAGGCCAGTTGTGGGTGATCAGGCTGGCATGGGAGTGATTAGGGGGTGATCAGGCTGGCAGGCAGAAGCAGTCAGGGGCAATCAGGAAGGTAGGCAGGCAAGCAGTTGGGAGCCAGCAGTCCTGGATTGTGAGAGGGATGTCCCAGATTGGAGAGGGTATAGGCTGGGCTGAGGGAAACCACCACCTCCCCACCCCCACCCTGTGCACAAATTTCATGCACCGGGCCTCTAGTATAAAATAACAACAGGTATTAAATGAAAATATAACATAAATTCTACCCACCATTCAAAGCCCATCTAAAATTTTAGTCTCATGAAAACTTTATACACTTCCTGCAGCCTGCTGTTCATTCTCTTTATATAAAAACACATGTATATCTCTTCTATCAATGAGTTTTATTAAGCTCCAGGATAAGAAGAGCATCTATGCAACTGTCTGAACATTTGCCACTTGGATCCAAGACCAGGGTCTCCTGTGAGCAAAGACTAGACCTGGTACAGGGTTTGCAACAAGAAAGTATGCAGCCAGCCTTCTTGGAAATCAGTCT